AGAATTGAAGGCGTAAAGCGTACGTATCAGACCGTGCAACTGCAACTTTAAACGTCCTTAGATGAACACGTCATAACAAAATGCTGCAACTGCCATTTACTAGATGAGTGGCTGGCCATGTCTCGGCGAAATGCAGCGATGGTTAATTTTATTTCTTAAGGAAATCATTAGCTAATAAAAAAATTATATTGCGCATGAAATTTGTCCCTGATGCACAAAGTGGAAAGCAAATTACGTATTAACTGTGACGTTAAACACCCTTTCCCGCATTCCACACGACGATATACAAGTAGGCAAACATTCATATAGCTCTCAGCAGGATTTTCGATTCACTGGCATGGATACAAAACCTTTTCACTCTCTTACCAAGAAAATTTTGATGATTTCACGTGTTAAATGTGAATAGGCGAATCCTTTGCTCAATGCGATGAGCCCTTATGATAAAAAACTTGATTAAATTTAGGAATTTGTATTTGGAATTTAAATCCGCTAGCTAAAGTGCAGAATACAGCAAAGCAGAGTGTAGAATAGCAAACATCTTCTTCACCTTCCATTGCCGTTTCTCCCTTCAAGTAGCGGGAGCAGACGCGTCAGACAGAGCTTTCAACGTTTCCGATATTGGGCCAGAGTATGAGTTTCGGCAGAAGACAAGTGGAGTCAGGAACGGAGTCTTCCCATATATTTCCACCAGTTTAATCTTGGCCGTCCCCTGGGCCATTTGTCGATCAGTTTCACAAGAACAGTTGCTTGTCCTTCCTTTCTGGAGGTATTCGCAAAACATGCCCAAACCATGGCAGCTATGACTTCAATCTGGAGAAGCAAAGGCTGTGCACCAAGACTCTCCAGAATGACAGTATTCTGGACCATATCTAGACAAGTAAGGCCAGCGACGCGTCTAAGAAATCCCATTTCAACCGCTTGTACTCGGGTTCGAAGCTTTTCAGTCATGATTGTAGGGTAGGCATGGAGATTAAGATTTATATTAACACCAAGAGCTTAGTTTTCAGATTGAACTCTGTTTTAGTCACAATGGATCAGGATAAACTCACGCAGAACACCACTGGCTACTTCAATTCCCCGGTCGATTTCTTCCTCAAATTTTTCATCACTGGTAAACACGACTCTGATGCACTTGAACTTCTCTACCTACTAGACTGCTGCTTCGTCAATCTTTAGGGAGCAACGGGCAGGAGAACCAAAAAGCACGAGGCATTTCATTTTACATGCATTCACAAGCATGCCGGTCGCGTCGCACGCGCGCGCGCGCACTCGGCTGCGAACCTTTCTAGGGAGCACTGATCAGTCTCAAAAGATGCTAATAAGACATGGTGGTCTGCAAACAGCAATTTTCTCGTCCTCCCATCTCCTGCATCGACTGCTCCTAACTACTCTATTCATGTACAACACAAACAGGGGAAGGGACGGAAAGTAGCCTTGGCGGAAACCAGTGCCAACTTTTTGACTTTGTTATCCGTGCCTGGGACTAGCAACGACGGCGTTGAACAGCAAAAACCACTGGGTAAACCTAAAATTGTATTCTGCCTCAGATGAACGATAAAAAACCGTTCCAATTCGACCAGAGAACATAGGTGAAATGAATGAAATTTTAGTAGTAGCAGATTAAACCGAAACCAAAAAAACCGAATAATTTAGCTAAATTCGATAAAACTGCCGTGATAAAATCTAACTGAAGAACAAAAAGAATTCCTAAGTAAGCCTACAATAGGGATACATGCGGGTATAGGAATATAGGTTAGAAATATTTTATTGACAAGTTCAGCATAATTTCCATTGCTACACCATGACACTTTTTATAAATATTTACTCACTGGCCACTTTTCGCAGATTTTGTTTGTTTTGCACTAAATCCTTGATCACGTTATATCTTTTGCACATTTCAACTTTACCAGCTTATTTCGAAACGTTAAAGTGTTCGCTGTGAGCCAAAAAATTCACCCCTAGAAGAGAATCTAATAATCTCGGATTCTCAGAAGGAAGAGCATGCACTTTCGAAGCTGCCGTCTAGTCATTTTCTCCTACTTAAGTGGAAGAACTAAAAATTTTATAACTGGGTACGAGACGACTGCAGTTTACAGACTCCTAAATGAAATTGACAGCTTTCTTTACAACAAAGGAAAGCCGAAATAATATATCAGGTAAATTGCTCCTGCGAAGAATAATTACTCCATAGCTTTCCGATCCAGGTCTTTTTCCGTCACAGCGGTTCAGGCTTCTTTAAGCACGACACTACTGACATTGTCACGACACGACTCCGGTTCTTCTTGCCATTTTCATCACTGGTAAACACGACCCTTCCAGAGGTACGTGAATTTCCTACCTGATTCATGATGGTCTGTAAGCTTGTCTGCCGATCGCAATGAACAGGAGTCAGTAAACCACTAACTTTTGGTTCTCTACACGTTCTTGTTTACGCCAGATACGCTACTCTCGGATGTGAGCTTTTCTAGTGACCGCTGCAGATCAGCGTTAGAGAGGATTCCAACCAATGCAAAGAGATTTCTTCTTGTCTCAACATCGCTTATAACTATCATCCTGACTGCACGTAATTTACGATCATCCAATTAGTATAGAAATTTGATGGCGTTTAGCAATTGAGCATTGATCCCATAAGTTTGCTGAAACACTCACGGATCGTTGTGCGAGATTTGATGACGGGTTTTCGCCATGTCAACGAAGCACATGCAAACCGGTTAAGCCAACTCTCACGATACCCCAGCGATACTGCTATTTGAAAATCTGATGATAGAAGCTCGCTGGTTCTCTTGGCTCTTATATTCAATGATCCCGTGATATATATTTTTTTCAGTATTTGCGTTCGAATCCAAGGTAGGCAAGTCAGTAATTAAAAAAGTATCCTCTCGAATAAACGAGCAAATGATACTTCAAGTTCCTGATTCTGGGCCTATAGTTATATGCATGGTTGTTTGAATGATAACTATATATGTAAATAAACGAATTTTTGCCAAATTTATTCCAAAACCACTACCTATAGCCTTTTGGAAGTTTCACTGTAGAACACCCATTTCTTTGAGAAGTACCATGGGCGCTTCAAAAGATGACCAAATTTCTACGGCAATTTCAGAAACAAAGATTTTAAAAGAATAAAATTTTAGTTCCAACATTTGTTTGAATGCGTCAAGAGAGGTTATTTACTTTTCGATATTCTTCCTATGTTTATCGCAGTTTCTTTTCATTTTATTCACTTGTTGATCTGATTTGTAATCATTACACTTTTATTTATCGGGATTGGAAAATAATTTTAAAATAGAAGTATCACTTAAATACTCATTCTGATATCAAACTCCAAATATCAGAATTCATTTTTGCATTCCTACCAAAAATTAAAAAGTCGACTTTCTAGAACATCGTATAATTACATATATTAATGAAAAGTACAAAAGATAATGTATATATGACATGTCATCAACAGTAAGATTCGGAGGGAGCAATTCGCACAATTTGTCATGCAGCGCAACTGTACCTACTAATCACGTAGTTGTTGTAAGTGCGTCTTGGTTGTCAGTAGTTTCTTTCTTTATAAATAAAACCTTTCTTGTGCTTTTTCTGATAATGGCTGAAGAAAGTTCAAAGGTGAGTTTCTAGCATGTTTCTCGTTGCATGTTCGGTAGTTTTAACGTACAAAATTTTTGCTTTTTTACATTTTAGCGGTGATGTTTGGTAGTTTGTTGTTGCTTGTTGAGATCATCATCCTATACCCTTTGCATAAGGGAAAATGTTTAGTTTGTGGTATCCGAAGTATCCTAAGTTATAACACTTCAGTTGTTACTACTGCAATGCAGAAGACAGTATTTTCTCCGAAAGTCGATCTGCTTTCACCTTGTTTCTCTATGTTGTATGCTGTCCCCTGGTCGACTTCTGCTGGGTTTTGGCTCCCACAAGAAAAAATCACGGGCTGTGCTAAATGGTGTATGCTAAATCAGTTTGTCTAACAGGGTCAGCTTCCTTTAAATATCTATGAGGTGGCCAGTGCCCAGGAGAGTATGTAGCCATTGGACCCTCACTAAGCTAATGCTGCCCTACACTGCCGTCGTTTTTGCTCATTCGTTTGGACAATTTTCTCCATATCCTGCAACAACAATGAACTTGCAGACACTTTGTGGGAAAGAACTCTTTTCTCAGTTGAAATATTGAGCAGGTTTGCACAAGTAAGCGAACGCTAAGGTGATTTTCTTATTTAACTGGTTAGATAGTGCCATCGCTGGAGATAATGGAGCTGAGACACACTGATTAACCTTCTAAGGGGCTTCACCTCCATGTTGCACTTGCATATCAGCTGTGCCCGATGGATTCTTCATAACTTTTGAGACAGCCCACTGCCCGTGTTACTCACACGGCAATAGTCCGCGTACTCCACGTTAGCAAGATATCTAAGTGGATGCCTTGAACTGCACATTCCCTTTAGAGTGCGATGTTCGTCTTTACCAGGTCCTGCATCTCTCGGAGAAGAAGGCCGAGATCAGTGTTATATTGTAGAAATGAAAGCATGCTTCCGTGGCGAAGTCCACAGTACGTAGTACGTAACCGTCGAGATAGCCTTTCTTCAACTTTGACATGGTACATTGTTTCAGTATACTTCTCTCCTAAAATACAAACAATGTGCTCAAGTATTCCGTTATGTTTCAAGATTTTTCACATCATCGGACAATAAATGAAGTAAAATACTGCTTTGAAGTAGTGGAAATTGGCAGTTTGGGGATAACTGTAATCACTGGCATTGCTAAATGTTAATTCAACCGTGGGAGAAATACCTTATCCAGAAACCTGGTTGATGTGGGCTGTCTTTCATCCATTGCATAATTAAGCTGAGAAAATCCTAAAAAATAATTTCACCTAAAATTGACGTTAATGTGATGACACGATAATCCGAACACTCTACTTCTTTAAATATAAGGATAATTGCTTCGCAGTACCATTATCCTGCTAAACATTTGTAGATTTGCATTTTATGAAGCAAAGCGTGGGGAATTTTTACTATTTCCGTTCGTCTGTGCTTAGTTAACTCCAGGATAAGTTCGAACCATCCCTCAGGTCTTCACCTGTAGCGTGGCTTTGTCGATTGGGTGTATGCGCACTAGCTTTTAGTATTAGCAGGGAATTATCAATCAGAAATGGCAAATCTGGAGGGTTGCTGTTGAACAGTTGCTGGAAACATTCAGATCAGTCCAATAATAATCCTGTTTTTTGGGACGCTTATTCTGCCGGTGGGACGCCCTTAAGTGTTGGATAAGGATAGGCCGATTCCCTTTTTTGTCGGATAACTGCCGCACCATTTTGATCACTGTTCGTCGTAACTCACCCTGTCCGACTGCCTTGATGATCTTAAGATTTTTTCCTCTAGACATATGTCCGTTTCTCTGGTTGATTGTACAAACGAGACGCCAATGAACTGCCTTCGAGTTTACAATGGGGTGCTGCAAGTGTACGTTTTTACTTGATTCCTTTACACTCTAAGGGTTGGGGCTTTCCATAATCAAAGGTAGTTTGGTTATTTTCATATTGACTCTCCGTGGAAATGTCGGCTGCTTCCAAGTCTTTGTAAGCATTATCGACGTTGCCATTTCCCGACGAGACATTAAGGGTGGCAATAAAATAAATCTTTACATAATTTTGGTAAACTCACCGCGTCGCTTCGTTATATTTTAGTTTGTCAACAAAGAGCAGCTGATGTGTTCCAACCAGACGACATCGATGACCATAAGGTTATCTGACGCAATGAAGCCACCACCCCTGACGCGAGACTAGGTACTAGCTGCTCCATTTGCGATTGTTGAAGATGTGGCCCAGCTAGGTATTTATGCTTCCATGGTGGAGGAGAGTGGGGGGACGTCCAGCTGGTTTGGTTATTACGTTTATGAGGAAATAGAATCCCGCCCGAGATTAAGTTATTTATTCATGAGAAGCTGAACAGATGCCTGCCGTTATCATTCACTCTAAAAATACCGTGACGACAGAGTACACTTGGTCACGTGCTTTACTGAGAGTCCACCTTCCGGTTGAGGTCGCCTGTGATAATTAAAACGTTGTAACACGATAAAGCGATTGCATCCGAAAGCAAGCAGTCATCGAAGGCATGTTTGTCGCTGCTACTGAGTAGAGTTGTCGGGCATGGACAACAGTGACTTTCAACTGTTTAACATTCACACAACAGAGCGGGTTTCTCCGGTCTGTTGTTTTACAGTTTAGATTAAAGCTGTAAAAATGGATATGGGCAAATTTTAAAATTTTTGTTGATAAATCTTTGTCTTTACTATAGTGTAATAGGTTTGAGTTGTTTTGATTTGAGACGAAATACTGAATTAGTTTAAGGTTCAGTTTTGTAATTGGTATCAAAATAATAATAATATCCCCCATAATCTTCTAGTCCTGGGCTTGTTTTGTTAAATGTGTCTTTATTTGGCACCTGACAACACCATTTCGGTTCGTGATTTTCATAATAAACATTTAGTAAGTCCATATCTGTGTCTAGAATGATATTGTTTAATCTGTTTCGTATTAAATTGCGTTAATCTGTATAAGGAACATCTAGTTTTGCGTACGAATTTTGCAATTGCTGCATGTTAAGTTTTTGAACGTTTTGCATTTTTGATTAATTTTGATTCGTCAAGATCGCTAGGTGTCACTCTTAACAACTAGTGAAGAATGAATGCAAACTTTATGAATTTTGTGTACGCAATAAATCCGAAAGATATATGATTGGAGAAATTCATGTAGCAGTGTGTTCTACTCATTTTGTCAGGCATTTTTGGAATTAACATAAATTATGACCTCGGCATGACTATATGCGTGGATGCTTAAAATCCTTACGGATGCTAAAGATATTTGCAATAATATAACAGTTGTATTTCTGGCGACATGTGGTCAGTTGAAGCATTGTAGTTATGTTGTTACAAGTAAGCATCTTAAACAGCTGTGAAAAATTATCATTTGTATTTTTGCTAATATTTGTTAGTGCTTAAGTGTGTTACTAGCTGTGTTCGCGAACCTAATGCCTCAAATTCGAGAATTTTCAAGCGCATGGATGGGATTGATTTATTTAGCTTAAAGTACCAGGTAGACAGCATCTTTAGCCGACATTTCGGGTAGGGTCTCATTGTATTGTCTATTTGTGCAGATTGTTCTTTGCATGTGCTTCGGTCCAAATGCAAGTTAAATTATGGCTTATGGATTTAATGTTTTTTATCTGAAAGCTTAATTTACGGTTTGCATCAGGCAGCAAGGACTTATAGCATTCTATCATAAAGGTAGATGCCAGAAAATCGGAAGATTAATAATTAATACAGTGTATCAGGTAATTGCGTGAAATGTAAGCTTTTTTTCTGCTGCTACTTAGCTTGGAAGCAACTTAATTTGTCCTAAAAGAGCAAAATTTGCCTTAGCTGAAATAAGCCCTACTGTGGATGATAACAAACATTTGATAGAATTTTAGTGGATGTAATTATTTTGCCAAGTTAGTAAAAACTTCATTGCCGATATTCTTTTACCACACTGGTATTACCTTCATAACAACCGATAATACTGGTAGCAGCTGTCTTGTCAGGACTACTTTGAACCAGAAGCGTCATGTTACTCTATTTAATGATTTTATACCAAGGTCGATGTAAGGAAATATTTTAAATTACGAATGCACAACTTGTAGACAATGGCTGTAAACTGATATTTCAATATTCTGAAACCGCTGCACCATTTGGATTGTTGGGCTGATGTAAGATCAGCAAAATGACATAAAGCATTGTGCTTTCTGATGGCTAATGTTTGAAACTTCATATCTGGCTGAGTCAGTGAATGGCATCTGTTGCTTCGAACTACGAATTACTTCGGTGATAAGTGGACAGGACATTCCATGGCCTAACGTTCGGTGTATTAAGTCATCAGGCAACAACTTTTCACTTCAGTATTCAAATATTCTCGGTTCAACTGAATATCATCGCATTATCTGAAAATGTTATAGGTATTTTTTCATAACTCTATAACAGTAGTTAACAACACTGGAAATAGCTTTAATCATGCAACAACTAATTTATTGAGTCCTCGAATGTAAGTCAGAGAAAAGTGTATTTGCAGCGTATCAAAACGACTGTAAAGTAAAAGATATAAAAATTTGCATTTAAGATGTATTGAACTTCTGCTTCTCTCCTCCCTCACTGAAAATTTTCCCCCAAATTCCTTATTAGGCATTAGATAAAGAGGCGGTTAAAAGTTAGGTAAAATATATTTAGCGTGAAGAATTTAAAGTGTAGCTTCTGGAACTACAGGTTAATATTTGCTGATGAAGGAACAGCGTTGTGATTTCTGAAAGCTTCACTTAATATATTTCCAGGATTTTAATCGCCTTTTTTATTCTTCAGAAGCCTGTTTGTGTCGTTTCAAACTGAATATCCTTTATTGCATATTTCCCTAATTTGTTACAAAGGTTACTGTGTAATTATATGTTGTAATCATAATCGTCTAGCAAGTATAGACTATGTTGCTGTGATCAGTTCGTAAATCAGTGTCCTTTAATGTAATCTACTTTTACATTTCAGGTAAAGGATTCAGAAGGAACCGAATTCATAAAGTTGAAAGTTGTTGGCCAGGTAATTGCTTTCATAAGGACTCAGTCAAAGTATTGACTATTTATTAATTGTTCGTAGGATGGAAACGAGATACATTTTCGTGTCAAATTTACGACACCCATGGGAAAGCTCAAGCGATCTTACGCCGACCGAATTGGCGTCCCAGTGACAACTCTGAGATTCTTGTTCGACGGAAAGCGAATCAATGATGATGAAACTCCCAAAGTCGTAAGTTGCACCTGCCAGTCATTGTTGTTTTTCCCTTGCCTTATTTAACTTTCCTTTATGTTTATGCGATGGTTAAGGCGATTTTGCGTTGAAAGTAACAGATCACAGATTGTAGGTTTGAATTGGAATGATGAATAAGTTTAATTCTAAACCGATATTGACGAAATACCATTCTGGAGGGCAACATATATCGTAAACGGGCCGCCAGATGAAAACTACAATGGGCAACCTGAGTTTCCATGCTCATTAGACGCTAGTGTTATGATGGAAAGAAAAGTGTGTGCTCGTTGGTCTGTGGTTCGATAATGGCAGCCATTTTTTAAACATTAAGCCAATCTACAGAAGCTTACTTTGCGAAACTTATCGGTGATTTCATCAACTTGAAATGCATGCATGCCTGTCGAGTAATATATGCACAGCTGAGTGGCAAACCATTTGTGGTCGCCTGCGTTCTCGTTACATATACTGGTAGCTGCTTGCCCATTTAAGAAAGATAAACAGAGCCACCTGTCATATAGGCCAACCGCTGAGAGCTTTAATTTTGTATGAAATATCCAAAGCTCGGTAAACTGGGTAGACGTTATACCGTATAGATTCCACATGGTGGTTCCCGTTTACCTCACTCGGAGGAATGACAGACGAATGATACCATCTGGACTCATGCTCAGTTGGTTTTTTCATTTTTTCGCCTACTGTAAGTGAAGACACTTTTGAACGATACCCTAGTTCGAATGCACTGTTAGGTATAATTTCAAATGTCATATTTGTTTAAAATTGCACTCTGCATTTATGTGTAAATCCATTGCAATTTTAATTGCTAAGTATCTGGAAAAATATCAGGCACTGATTTTCTTCGTTCATAGCGCAACAAAGGTGGCAGAAAATTAGATATTACGAATTGTGCACTTCAAACATATTAATATATTTGACGTGATTTTAGTTGTCAATGGAAGACGAAGACGTCGTTGAAGTTTACCAGGAACAAACTGGCGGCCGCTGATTGGAGAAGTTTGAAAAACTGTGAATAATGTTGCGTTTGTACAAAAGTGATACATTTTTGTAACGAGTTATTTTTTTTTCACGTAACAGCCATCTTTGTCGCTAAGTCTGTCATTTGTCGTGTCATCTTCGACATCTGATTTTCAAGTTAGCTGTGCGGAAAGATGCCGTGTATGCTATTACAATAGTAAAAGTGAACCCTGAGTTCGGATTTCTTTAAATCGTAATCCGTTGAAATGCGCATATCAGATATAATTAAACTGTTTTTGCATTACTTTGGCAATGTTGCAGTCTTTCCGTTAGTTGGCACAGGTAGGGAGTACCATAAGACATTTACGCGGAGTACAGTTATATGCGTAATCCAGTTGTTTGTAAACGATGAATAGGGAAGTTGGATCATCAGCCAAATGGAACTCAAGTTTTTTGAAGTGCTTAATACGTGGTGGTACTGATGACTTGCAAGTTTTCTGGACGGTCTGAAAACCAACGACAGGGTGATTAAACAATCTGACATTTAGCATATGCTTTGAAAAGACCCACGAACGAGGAAACAAGATAGTTTAGGCACGCTGGAAGAAATAGTAGAGCTTATCTAATTAAAGAGTACAAGACGATGGTAAATGTGATAATATACTTTGTTGACTGCGAACTGGATGTTTATATTTAATACAAATAAAAAATCGAATTGATTAATAACCTGTAAGTGTGATAAAATACAAATATTAAAATATGTATGCTTGACTAATTGATTTGAACTTTATTTCGGCGTTTTCGTGTATGACTGTAAATTTATGATGTTATTAAAGCCACGATAGCTGTACAAGAATAAAATATGCGACTATGCAGAAAGGCGTAGAAAAGTGCATCGTGCTTTCATGTTACTTTTGAACAGAGGATGACATCTGATTGACTGAATGAACATGCTGCGTATCATT